CTTGCTTGCTTGCTTGCTTTCTTTGCCCAGATTATCTTTTCTCCCTCCTTTATTGAGGTAACTTCACTTTTCAAAACTGAGCCTGGAAATCACTTCCTTTGACTTCCCCAGAGCATTACTCCTTACACCTTACTCCCACCAGAGTCTGGATTAGATGCCCCTCCTCTGAGCTCCCAGAGTACAAGCCTACTTACCTCTACATCAGAGCTCCAATTACACTGGGCTTTAGTAGCTTTTTTACTCTTGTAGCTTCCACTAGACTGTGGAACCACACCTTCATCATTGTATCTTCATCATCTAGCACAGTGTGCGGCACAATGCTATGCCCTTAATAAAAGTTGAATGAATGAATGCATTAAGGGAGAGAGGTTAAATGTTGGTGGAGTGGGGTGATATATAGGAGAAAAGAGGAAGTAAAAGAAATAAGAGAATTAAATATAGGAATGAAAGAAAGGGACAGAGGAGAGGAGAGAGAGAGATAGGTAGACAGCCATCTGGACAGACACTGGGGAGATAAAGAAAGAAGACAGTAAGGGAGGAAACTGGAACTGGTAGGGAAGGAGAAACATCATGAAAACACGCTGAGACAACCACAAAGTGGGTAGACTCTAGAACAGAATGATTCTCTTCTTTAATAGCCCTGAAGCACTGTTTACAAAATTTTATTATTGGTTGACACAATAATTGTACATATTTAGGGGGTAGAGTGATACTTCAATTATTGTATACAATGTGTAATGATTAAACCTAGTTAATACAATGTGTAATGATTAAATCTGGTTAAATAGCATATCCATCACCTTAAAAATTTATCATTTCTTTTTGTTGGGAAAATTCCAAGTCCTGTTTCCTAGCTAATTGAAAGTATACAAGAAATTGTTAACTATAGTCACCCTGTTGTGCAGTAGAACACTAGAACTTATTCTTCCTATCTAGCTGTAATTTTGTATCAGCTAAACCACTACCCTTACTTTAGTGACCACTATTCTCTCTATGTGATCAGCTTTTTTAGCTTCCATGTAGGAAAGAACATACAGTATTTATCTTTCTGTGCCTGGCTTGCTTCACTTAATATAATGTTCTCCAGGCTCATCCATGTTGCCTTGAATGACAGGATTTCATTATTTTTTATGGCTGAATAGTATTCCTCTGGTGGGGGGTGTGTATCTCCCACATTTTCTTTATCTATTCATCTGGTGATGGACACTTAGGTTGATGCCATGTCTTAGCTAGTGTGAATGGTGCTTCAGTAAACATGGGAGTGCAGGTATCTCTCTGACATACTGATTTTCTTTCCTTTGGGTATATACCCAGTAGTAGGATTGTTGGATCATATGGTTGTTTTATTTTTGGTTTTCTGAGGAACCTCCATACTGTTTTTCCATAAGGCTGTTCTAATTTGCATTCCCACCAACAGTGTATGAGTTCCCTTTTCTCCGCATCCTTGGTAGCATTAGTTATTTTTTGTGTTTTTGGTAATAACCATTCTGTCTGGAATGAGATGATAATCTCATTCTGGTTTTGTAGTTTTCCTTGTAGAGATCTTTCACCTTTTGGGTTAAATTTATTCCTAGGTATTTTGTGTGTAGCTATTTGATTGCTTTCTTGATTTCTTTTTCAGCTAGCTCCTTACTGGTGTTTAGAAATGCTAATGATTTTTTGTATGTTGATTTTGTATCCTGCAACTTTACTGAATTTGTCAATTCTAATAGCTTTTTGTTGAAACTTTTAGGGTTTCCTGTATAAAAGATCATGTGGTCTGCAAATAGGAACAATTTGACTTTCTCCTTTCCAATTTGGATGCCCTTTATTGTTTTCTGTTGCCTAATTGCTCTGGCTAGGACTTCCAGTACTATGTTGAATAAAAGTGGTGAGAGTGGACATCCTTTTCTTGTTCTTTTTTCCTCTAATGGTGAGTCCACAATGGTGAGTTCCTCTTGCCTACGAACCAGTCCCAGCTGGGTGCTTTGCTTCCCTCCCTATGCTGCCATCTCGAGTTTCCATTCTTCAGAGGGGTTTTGTCACTTCCAAACTGAATTCCAGTGTTCTTCCTTCAACTACTTAAAGTGTAGTTATTTTTGTTGCTGTTTTGGTCCTTCTTTGTTGAGGAGGCAAGCACTGGGCACCTGTAGTCAGCCATCTTAGTGATGTTCCCCAACGGTGTTTTGTTCGTTTTTTTGATTTTTCAGTGAATTAGCTGTATGTTTCATTGATTTTTAATTTCATTGACGTCTGTTCTTTTTTATTTCCTTCCTTCTGCTTGCTTGGGTTTATTTTGCTCTTGGTTTTTTTTTTTTGGGGGGGGTGTTTTTTAACTGTATGTTCCTTTTTCTTTCATTTTTTTTCTCGTTTTTTAACTTACACATTGTAATTGTACATACTTATGGGGTACAATCAGGTATTTTGACACATATATGTATTGTATAATAATTGGGTCAGTGTAGTTAATGTATCAGTCACCTCATGCATTTATCATTTCTTTGTGGCAAAAACATACAAAAGCCTCTCGTCTAGCTATTATGTGGTATACAAAACTTAACTGTTAACCATGATTACCCTACTGTGCAATAGAACATCAGAACTTTTTCCTCCTATCTAATTGTAATCTTATGCCCAATGGCCAGCCTCTCCCTGTTTTCTCTACCCTCCTCTTCCCTCCTATTCCTTTGAATATGTACACAGTAGTGGGATTAAATGATAGTTCTATTTTTAATTTTTTGAGGAACCTCCATAATGGCTGTACTAGTTTATAATCCCACCAAGTGTGCAGGTGTTCCCTTTTCTCCACGTCCTTGCCAACATTTGCTTTCTTTTGTCTTTTTGATATAATAGCCATTCTATCTGTTTTGATTTTGCATTTCCCTGATGATTAGTGATGTTGAGCATTTTTTCATATGTCTGTTGGCCATTTGTATGTCTTCTTTTGAGAAATGTCTATTAAAATCCTTTTCCCATTTTTCAATTGGATTATTTGTTTTTTTTGCTGTGGGGTTAAGTTCCTTATATAGTCTTGATATTAACCCTTTGTCAGGTGTATAGTTTGCAGATATATTTTCCCTTTCTGTAGGTTGTTTCTTCACTCTGTTAGCAGTTTCCTTTGATATGCAAAAGCTTTTAAGTTTGATGTAATCACTTTTCTGTTTTTGCTTTTATTGCTTGAGCTTTTAAAATCTTATTTTAAAAATCCTTGCCCAGCTCCATTCATGGAGCGCCCCTATGTTTTCTTCTAGTAGTTTCATATTTTCAGGTTTTACATTTAAATATTTAATCCATCGTGAGGTTATTTATGTATATGGGGATAAGTAGGTGCTCTTTCTTTGTTCATGAAGTGGGAGCCTAGATTATTGATTTGAGACTTTTCCTCTTTTCTAATGTATGCATTTTAGTACTTATTCTGCTTTTCACCTTCATTTGCTGATTTAGGATTTGCTTTCTCAGATATGCTCACTTACCACTTTTGCTTTGCAGTTTGCAAAATGTTGTTTCCTTCACCTCATCTGCTCTTTGTATCCTCGTGGGGTAAATTTTATGCCTTTAAAAATCCTATACTGTCATTATAATAGTGTTTCAGGGAAGGTTAGAAGGAATTGCATGTATTCAATCCATTATCTTTAACTAAAAGTTCCCTTTCCTTTAAAAAAAAAAAAGTGGGGTTGGGGGAGCTTACATTGTGGGCAAGACCCTTTATGATCTAGCTTCTGCCTGTCTCTCTAGCCTCATTTCTTACTGTACTGCAGCTGGCCCCCAGCCTAAGCTCCAGCCACATGTATCTACTTAAGAGATTGCCAGACAAATCATGTTCCTTCATGCCTTTCAGTTCCACACATGCTATTTTCTTAGTGTGCTGTTTGTCCTTTCAGACTCTCCTCAGTTAAGCTTTGCTTTCGTCTGGGTGCCCCTCTGCTAGAATCCCTATTGTAATATTGCAATTACTGATTTACTTAAAAAAAAAAAAAAAGATCTCATCCTAGAGGTTTCTTAACTGAGGGTACAGGTAGAAGGGCTATCCATGGGCTACCTGCAGAAAATCTTAGAATGCCCTATTAATTATTTGCAAAATTTCACATGTATGTGCATATTCTTAGAGAAATTGAAGTGTGCATCAGAAATACCTGTGGAGCTTTTTAAAAAACGTAGTTACTTTGGGCTCTACTCCAGGGGCTTGCTGAGTTACAGTCTCTGAAATTAAGGACCAGTAAGACTCATTTTTAAAAAGCTTCCTAAATGAGTCTTTAGAACAGGATATGAGCATCACGTATATTAACTCTAGGGCCTGGTTTATAATGAATGCTTAGTATATGTTTAAAGAAAGAATAAAGGAGAATTTATGTTCAAGGCATGATCTAAAATATATTTCTTGTGTGAAACCAGAGCACAAGTGGGGAAATCACTAATTTCTTCTGTTATTTAAATGAAGTCATAGCATCTATTTTCACCTCCTTCCTTTGGATATAATTAGGAGAAATGGATTATTTTTTTCAAAGGCAGAGAAAAGCTTTGGAGGGTAGCTGCAATAATGAAAGAAAAATGTAAGGATAAGACAAGTCAGATGTATACTTGGTTCAATTTTGGTTTCTCTGGCTGCTTGTGGTTGTTGACCCAGTGATTTGATTCCAAAATTTTAGGCTTCTATACATTGGATCTCATAGGTACCACTACTGTACATATCCGATTTGATAACCTATGAATTTAATAAGTGGCTAGAAATATGGAAAATGGGGAGATGGACATGTTGCTTTGGCAAAAAATATAAACAATGTTATTGCAACTGGTTGGGACTAAAGAATGAAAACAGAAAGAGCCTTAATTTGCTGAAATGCCCTGCCTTGTGCTTCTTTAGTGTTTAAAAGTTTAAAAGCATAAATTAAAACTATGTTTTCTGCTTTACTCATAGCCTCTTACACAGTGTAGAGCTGTTGTATGTTTACATCTTTGTGTGTTAAAGAAATGATCTTTTGCTTTTTGTATTTTCTATTTATTATTTTTATTTTGTTATCTAGATATTTGAGAGATTATGGCATCTGAAACCCACAATGTTAAAAAACGGAACTTTTGTAATAATATTGAGGATCATTCCATTGATCTTCCTAGAAAAAAGATCTCTAATTTCACTAATAAGAACATGAAGGAGGTAAGTTCATAGTTTTTAGGTAACAGGTTAAGACAGTTTAAGCTGTCAAGTCTATATATAGTTCTGGTTAAATTGTTTAAATAATGGGAGGATAATAATACTACTTAATCTCCCAGAATTGAGTAGAATTTAATGAGTTTTAGCCATTGTATTCCTAAAGCTCTAGAAACTTTTTGGCCAATACACTGTTTTGATAGGATATAATTTTAATATTTTAGTTTAAGAGGAATCTCAGAGGTGCTTTTTTGTTCACCATTGCGAGGCTCATTCACATTGATATGATATAATTTCTTTTAAGCCATATTAAAATGCAACTCACTTATTAAGCACCCTATAAGTATAATATGTGACTCATGGCCTGGAAAATATGGAGATGGATATGTTTCTTTGCCAAAAATGCCTACATACAACATTGTTGTACCTACTGATTGAAACTGCAGCATTAGAACAGAGAAATCTTTAATCTGAAAAACCTACTTGTTGACTTTTAGATTTGTAGATATCAATCACAAAGTTTACATAATTTTATTAAAATAAAAGGACTTAAATATGCTCTATCTATCTACTTCTAATTTTTAGGTTAAGAAACCTCCAAAAAAGTTGGCTGCTTACATAAATAGGTAAGAGCTTCTTTAAAGTTTGTGGGAAACTGCAAATATTGAAAGCTGGATAAGGATGAAAATAAGAGAAAAAATAATATAGTAAAAATTAAAAAATAATATAATAAAATAAATATAATTTTTAAATATTTAAAATTTAAAAAATAAACATAATTTAAAATAATATGATTTTAAAATAATATAATAAAATAATATAATAAAATTGACATTGTCAAAAAGCTCTTTTGTGCCAGGCTCTGTACTAATAAACACATCAATATTATCTCTGTTCCTTACAACGCTCCTACTCATTGGATATCATTACCCCTAGCAGTTGATGAGAAAACTGAAGATCAGAGAAGTTAAGTGATTTCTTCAGGTCATACAGCCAGAAAGTGGTAAAAATGGCATTCACTGTCAGATCCCCAAAATCTAAAGGCACTTTCTACAAAACCACTAATTCTCAAAGTAGGATCTGAGTACATTGGGGTCTCTGAGGCCCTTTCAGGAAGTTTATGAGGTCAAAACTATTATCATAACAACACTAAGACTTTATTCAACTTCTTCATTTTCATTCTTTTGCAAGTGTACACTAGAGTTTTCCAAAGACTACATAACATTTGATATCACAGTAGAGTAAATGCAGAAGCAGAAATGAGAATCCAGCTGTCTTCTGTTAAACCAGATATTAGAGATTTGCAAAAATGTAAAACAATGCCATTCTTCTCTGGATTTTTTTAGTTATTTGTTTTGGAGAATACGGGGTTTTTTTCCTGGTAAAATATTCTATGTTAATATGTAATGAGTATTTTTTTTTAATTAATTAACAAATATTTTTAAGTTTTCTCAGTTTTAGTTTCAGATACAATAAAATGTCAATAGGTATTACCTACGTAAGAAATTCTTTTGCGTCCTCAATAATATTTGAGTGCAAAAGCATCCTGACTCCAAAATATTTGAGAACCACTATACCAAACCCTGAGATTTGTTCTGTTGTATTTTATCTAATTCAAACAAAATTACATATACTTTAGCTTAATCAAAATAAACTTTAAAATACTCAAACTTGCACAATTTGTCACTTTATTAGAAGATTAGGTGTCTAGAACATGTTATAATATTTTTACTCATAGAATGACTTTTAATATTTTATTTTAAAAGCATCTAGCTATTACGTCTCTCTTCATTTTCATTTGGTATAAATTGTCATCCTTGTCATTGCCTTCCAGATAATTTGTAATTTCACTTTTATTTTCCTCTTCAAACTAAGAGTTAAGATTTTTTTACATTATTATATTTATTTCTATTTTTAGTAGATTACAGTCACAAAATTTGACCTATTAAATCTCTCTGTTTAAAAACTTTTAAAAGTTTTCTTAAGGTTCTTTTTCATTTAAGAAAATAATTCTTTTTACAGAACAGTTGGACAAGCTGTGAAAAGCCCAGATAAACTACGTAAGGTGATCTGTCGCAGAAAGAAAGTTCATCATCCCTTTCCAAATCCTTGTTACAGAAAAAAACAGTCCCCTAAAAGTGGGGGCTGTGACATGGCAAATAAGGAAAATGAACTGGCTTGTGCAGGCCACCTGACTGAAAAATTACGCCATGACAGTCGAACATATTTGGTTAATTCCAGTGATTCCACTTCTTCACAAACAGAAAGCCCATCATCAAAATATAGTGGGTTTTTTTCCGAGGTGAGTCATTTCTCTAAGTCATTTCTAGCTTAATTTTATTCCTGTTACACTATTCATTTTTTTTCTTTGCCATATTCTACTGACAGAATAATTTGCCACTCATTGAATACAGACTTATTTGAGTGATAGTAACATCCTGTGACAGTTTTCCAGATTAATCAAATTTGAATCAGTAATTTATTTTTCTAAGTTAGTACTAAGATGGAATGAAATGTTGGACAGGCTGCTATAAATATCTAGAGTGGCAATTTGGCCAGTAGAAATTTAAAGAAAGGGAAAAAGAGAACTCTTGCCTAAAATGTGGACCACTGAAGCCAGTTATCCAGGCACATTTTTTGGGCTCTCAAAATTGCCCAGTGGAAGCTTTGTTCAATCAATCCAGCTGTGGTTTGCTGCTTTTCTGGGTCAAGCACAAGTGGTTGTTTGAATAGGATCAAGGGAATTTTGGGGGTGATAGAAATATTCTAAAATAGATTGTGATGATGGTCGCACAACTCTATAAATCTACTAAAAACCATTGAATAACGTACTTTCATGGATGAATTTTATGGTATGTAAATTATACCTCAATAATGTAGTTTTTATAAAATGGTCATTTGAAGGAATGATTTGATATAATTTACAAACATGCATGAGTTTGTAACAAACATGTTTTATTGTATAAGTTGTAGGAAATAAAGGAGCACATTATCCATAATCTTGACATTTAGAAATAGTAGTATTAAGTTTTTGATGTTATCTTTTCTCTTTATACTGTACATAGTTTGATAACTTTTCTGTGCTTAAAAAAGTATGGATTTTTTCCATCTAATTAAATAATGCAATGCCTCTACAATTTCTTAATGGATACATATTATATTGCTTGAATGTACCTTAATTTTTTTTATCTATGATTTGGTAAACTTTATATTGTTTCTCTCTGGCATGACAGCTTGAAAAGCATTTTCTATACCATACAAGCAGGGAAAAAATCTTTTTAAGTTAAAAAGGTAATAAGTGTGTATAGGTGAATGAAGTTGAGCACCATATTTAAGATGCTATTATTTATTAAGGTGAAAGATAGAAAATAAAGTATTATTAACTAAAACCATAATGAAATGATGCAAAAAGGATTCCATTTGCCAGTGGAAATGTTCTTGTAAAAATAAAAATAAGATCCTAGAATAATAGAAGGTTAGCAATGCTAGGGAAAGTGAAGGGAATAAGTGGTATCTGTGAGAAAAGAGGAAAGGAAGAATTTGATTTAATAGTGAATTATCACAGTCCGTGGAGAATAGAATGGTAACTAAACCTTAGTGTTAAAGAGAATCACTGTCATACTGATTCATTCACAAATATTTATTGAGGGCTCCCTGCTATTAGTACTTAATACTGCTATTTCCAAATGTCGAACGTTCTCTTCAGGCTCTGAGGAGACCGATTTGTGGGTGAAAAACAGACATCACCCCCTACTTTCATGTAGTTATAGAATTGATGAGACTGACACTAATCAAACAGTCATAGAAACTACATACTCTGAAGGAAAAGAACATGTGACTATATAACCCAGAAATCGGACCTAGATTGGTACTTCACTTGAACTGAGGGAATAAACTTCTAAGTGTAAATGTCTTAAAAAGTTTCGGTTGTGTATTTGAATTACTGCCAGTAAGACATTTTTTGAAGACCCACCTTTTACTTTGCTTTCTCATTTTCACTACAAACCTTTCTTAACATCACATTTAACTACTAGGTTTATTGATTACTCTTTTATTTCAAACCTTTTTTCCTGATTGACTAGTACCTGCTCTAAAACCTTAATCTAAAATGATACCATATTATCTTATCAAAGTTCAAATACATGTGACTGCTGATCTAGCTATTCTAATTGTAAAATTAATCTTAACAAAAGTATGTGTACAAGTGCACATATTTGCATACATCAGGATGTTCACAGATGTATGGTTTTAATAGGTTAAAACCAGAATCAATCTAAATAAATTATGGTATATAAAAACTGGAGAATATGCTATTGTTTTTTAAAAAATGAATTTGATCTACAAGGATGCTTCAAAAAATTCATGGAAAGAGTCCTATTTTTTAATTCTGTTTTTCCATGAACTTTTTGAAGTACCCTCATATGTTTTTTGACATTGAAAAATGATCATATAGGTGAAAAGGCAAGATTTTTTTTTTTTTTTCCTTTTGGTCTTTTTTCGTGACCGGCAACGGATCGCAACCCTCAGTGTCACGCCTGTACCGGACCGGGACCGGCAACGGGATCGCAACTCTCGGTGTCCCGCCCGCCCCTCGCTCAGCCAGTGAGCGGGAACCAGTCTGTATGTGGGATCCGAACCCTCG